CAGTAGGCGTAAATTCAGTATGAACAAACCTAAGCCTACCATGGGATTTTTTTAATGTCATGTAATTTTAGTAATTTCTCCAGTATAAATTCATTTAAGACATCAAAAACAATAATCATAAAAACTTAAAAAGGTGAACCTAGTGCATGAGGATCTAAAGAGGATGAACGTAAACAGGCTTACCCTTATAAGCAAGTAGAGTTATTTCAATGACTCAAATCTTGGTCAAGCGCTTAAGAGAAATGATGCAAGAGGATTCACCTTAATATATTCCCAATTAGTGCATGAGGCTCCCGCCAAAACGGGACTCAGGAATGGATAGTGTATGCAGTCCTACTCCTACAAACATAAAAGTTCTGTGTATCGGACCCCGAGTTCCCAGGTTGCACCTTTAAACTTTACCAAGGCTCACCCTCCAAAAGTAATAGTCACAAAAAAAAACTATTATGTTAGCATCAAGATCATTGCTAAAATAACCTGGTTCTTAGTTGATACGAACATCTATGTGAATGTACCCTGATCCAGCAAATCATACATAACTCTACCTAGTCTAATCAGCCAAATTCGGTACAAATAATTAATGTCTAAAATGAGATAGTCAATGACCTCTGCTGCAGAATCAAGGTGTAAAAGAACAGAAATAGGAGCTCCAAAAGTGGGTGTTATAACTCCTGCTCTTTCTCGAGCTTTGTGATCCAAAACTTCCAACTTGAAGAGAAGGGTCTCAAACCTGGAAGAAAGCAAATAAAAGCATATAAAGAAATTAGTAACAGAAAGAAAATAGGAATTATAGGTAAATCTAGATATCATATCTACATCATGTATTTTAGGAAAGGTCCTGTGGTGGCAAAGTGTTACAATCTCCTGAACATTTATGTAGTGTAAATTCCATATGAACAAAAAAGAATAAATAGAAATAAAGGTGGAAATTTTTCGTCTCATGACCAAATTAAAGAGAATCCTTAGTGCTGTCAGCTGAACAAGCAGGTCTATACTTGTAAAGTATCACGCACATTGAACCAGCAAGCAATAGCAAAAAGAAAAGTACACACATATTACATAGACATCTGTGCTATCCAAATATGTTACAACCATACTATCCAAAAACCAAAGAAAGCTCAAACTTCATAAGCTATAACACTTTCTGTAAATCAGGCATTTATAGTCAGACCTTACTGCATAATATATTCTTTATTATGTAATGCATGTTACCTCATGCAAATTATGCCACAGTTATATCCATATCTTTGTAGATACCTCAATGGTAGAGGTAGGAAACTCAAGCTAGATCAACATGGCAAGTTCAACTAATTGAAGCCAATCCACATGTCAACAGGTCACGTTGAAGCCAGGCTGTCAGATCAGTCTGGATCAAGCATGGGATCTTTCCAATAAGCTTCAACCCAACATGAAACAGGCTGTGTGGATGGTAAGTGAATTGTGATTTATGTGGCTTGGTATTGTACCGATAACAAATCATCTTCAGCCATTGCCATGTATAAGTTGCCGCTATTACCTTCCAAAGGAATTGTTGACACTGCTTAAATGATTAACAGTGACAAACTGACAACAGTCTTTCCTTTAACATGTTGCACAAGATAACTAGGTCATCATCATCAGATTACTTTGCCAAAGGCCAACATCTCATTTTTAGCTGCAACCCTCCACTTAGACGATATTACCCTGGAGTAGAGCAACACCAACCAAAGTTTGCTAACTTAGCAAGCTGATTCTGACACTAATACTTCCTTAGTTTTGGTCCTTTAACAGAATGACCTGCAGCTTCTGGACTAAGGTGAAACTCCAAGCAAAATAAAAAATAAATAAATCACTTAGAGCAACAAATATATCTTTTCTGCAAAAGAAATGCCTACGAGAGATGAGGATGCATATAAATCTTTTAGTTGATCTACTAGTTGTATCATAAGACTAAGAACTTTACTAACTTAACTGAAAGCTATATTTTCAATTTAATGACTTGCAAGAAGGTAAGACTCCAGTAAAACAAAAGTGACTATCCTGAATGGAAAGCACTTATGTTTCAGTAAACTGAAAGTTAATTTAACATATGAAAACTTTAAATAATGCATCTCCTGTGGTCCTATGAAGTATGATACCAAGTTAGAAACACAGGACAAACTACAAAGAAGTAGAAAATATAATTACTTCTAAATATATTAAAATATTTTCAAGAACTTAAAGCTTGAAGTTTAGTCATTACTTATCGGACGAAATAATCTTTCTTTCGTTGTTAAACTCTTCAAGCCAGTCCTCATCCTCATCATCCAAATCATATTCAACAAATTCACCAATCTCAGCCCTGGCTGCAAAGATAATTAAATACTCAACGAACATCAGCATGTGAAATACATGTAAAAATATCATGTTTGTAGTAACTTATGTCAAAAAGGTAGTGGCAAACCTCCTCTTCCACGTATATATGATGTAGTTTGAATGAAGGTGCGAGAATAGTCTCTTTCATATGTTTCCACAGTGTTAAATTGTGGAGTAGGAATTTCATGTGAAGATTTCTTGCTGAGTGTTTGATTCGTCTACAAAAAGCAAACATCATTTTCAGTAAGTTATCTCCCTTAATAGCAAGTATATCATACACTATCAATCATACAATTACATATCACAATTTTGATACTATAGAAAAAATTTCACAATTCTGGGAGATGCGAACCTTAGCATTTTGCAGTCTATCAGTACTCTACTTCATCGTGTCAATCAGCAAGACTTTTTATTTTCTGACTTTATTTTGTAACCATTCACATAATTAATTCATAAAGAAATGTAAGTAAATGGCATTGTTTTGTTGTTACAAGTGAAATGAACCCCATCTAAGAGAAAAAAGAATAAAAAATTTGTAAATCATGCATCAAAAAGCTTATAACTATCTCATCTCAAGGGTATCCAATTTCAGTAAATTATGTCACACTCATTGCAAACCCTCCACAAAAACACTAGATCCTCCAAATGAACTCATCTACAGAAGAGTGTGGGCTTTATCTCATCCAAACTTCACTTAGCCAACATCACATGTGACCTAGACAAAGAGTTTGGTCGTTGGATTCAATACAGCGAGAGAAGAAAACTCTTTTTCATGTTCTTTGCTCGATATTTAGATAGAATCATGATCTTTCTTGACAATCGACCATGACTAGTATGTCACAAGATCATGAAGAACATCAGTAACAAACATGAACAAATAAATTTCAACACTGGCACAGGGATAAGCATTACCTCGGTGTCATTTTCAGGTGCAAGACGATGAAGCAGAGAATTTCGAGTGGAAGGGGTGGTACTAGGTGCCTCATCATCCTCAAATTCTTTAACAGATTTTACAACAGGGAGCTTCTTGTGAATGTCGAGAGGACGAGGCCGGAATGACAGCCTACTCATATCCGCTTCATTTCTCTTCCAATACCTACCACGTTCCCTGCTCACTCCACCACCCTCTCCATTGGAGCGTGATCCACGGACACAACTCGATTCACCAATCTAAACCATCTACAATAAGCCACCTCCAATTGATCAGAAGCTACCAAGTACCTCCAGCTCCAAGAAAGCAGATCACAGCAGCTAAGATTCAAACCAGGGCTTACACCGAAGAAAACCCTAGGCTCCCAGCGCCGAAGACTCCAACGACCAGTCGAGGAAACGTGCGAGACCAACGCAAGACGCGATTTTTCTTCAACCCACCGATGCCCTAGAACCGAACCAGCGTGGAAGACCCACCAAGACGCTGGCTTTTCGACAACCCGCCACTTTTCGCGTCGTCGGAGGGCCTGCAGGGCCGGGCGAGGGGCAACGCAGCGCCAATTCTAGGAGGGGCTACGAGTCGGAGTCGGAGCGGGGGATTTAGGGCACGGGAGCAGGCGGGAGGAGATACGCGTCCAGGAGATAGGAAGCCGCGGTGGAGAGGAGCGGAAGATTCCAGGAATCCAGCGGAGAAGGGCACGCGGAAGAGGGACACCGTTCGCTTGGTTGTTCCTTAGGGTTTGAAAGGGAGGAGGAGATGGAGGAGGAGGGAAAAAAGGAGGGAAGTGAATCGAAGAGAGCGCCGAGGAGCCGGTAAAAGAGAGTCTCGTTCTCAAACAGAATACTAACCAGCCCATTGTCCGAATACCCAACGATGTACACATTAATTAATTCTGGTGGGGTATACTATGGACATACATCGGTAACAGTAGAGGAAGCGAGGTTAAATAGGTATATGTAACGGATGTCAGAGGAGTAATTGCCAACATATTTACTTAATGGTGTCTACACAGTCAATGAGATTGCAACACGTGGACTAGTCCATGACAATAAAACAATAAATAATCACACCGTACCATAGTAGATTCATGACATAATCATCTGCCACGTTTTCAAAAATGTCTCGATTTAAATCGATTCGATTCGATTCGATTCCCTTAAGTACTATGTCGATTAATCCTTCAAATATATTATTCCACGTACTAAACAGTGTTATGAGTTTTGACGTGGATTCCGACATGAGAGGTAATATTCTATTTCAGCTATTGAGCTAAGCTTTTAGAAAGAACGATTGACGTTCAGAATTTTATTTTTCTTAAACAAGTTTTTTATGTCACAACAAAAAATTTAGTGTCATTCTCGAGTTTGTTCTTGGTGGCATTACCCAATCACTGTGTTCAAAGTTCGAGTTATCTCCTAAAAACTTTAAACTCTTGGAATTATCACATAATCAAATCACTATACAATAACCCTTTTCTTCATTTGAGCTTGCTCTATACAACCAAGTTTTGTTCACATGACTACACTGAACTGACTTCGGATGTTATAAATATATATATATTTTTTCTAATAGGTTAACCCTGTGGGATTAATGGCCACACAATCAAATCTTTGTCACACTGTTCTTAAGCTAGAAACAAAGTTAGTGAATAAAATTTTTCTTATATTATATTTTGTAAAATAATACGCACTTAAACTGATATAAAATTTAAAATAATATAGGATACATATCGACACATGTATATTATATGTTGCTGGATACATCAAAGAGAGTTCATTGTTCAATATATTTCACCGACCTCATTAACCAACAGAAGAAGGTCACAACACAAAGCAGCAAAAATTGACAAATGCAACACAGATACTATTGTGCCATGTAGAGAGGACAGCATCACAAAAGGATGAGTCGAAACCAAATACAATGTGTCATACTTTCATTTCAAGGTCAGGGGTAACGGCCTTCCTCTTCAACTTCTTGTGGGTTTCAGAATTTGTTGTGGTCTTCATCGCAGCTCCCTCGCGTGTGCTTGCTTTCACCAGCTGATCACCTTCATCCTGCTTGGTGTGTCTGGATTTGGTTTCCAGATCACCATCAGTAGCTTTCAAACCCAGATTCAAGTCCAAATTAGTTTGGTTGATATCATCATCCTTGTCTGAAGCCTGGAACATGATATCAATCTTAGGAGCTCACTCTTATATCAGGAAACCCGGAGACATGAATACCCTTGGTGTATACACTTCAGAAAGAATAATAGTTAGAACTTAGAACAATTCTGTAGCGAATGAAAATACAAGCATCACAAATGCTTTGGTGTAAATGAACAAGATGGTATCCAAGCACAAGGAAAAATCATCTCCTAGTGGGGAAAAAGCCACAACTCCACAAAAAAAAGGGTGCATGATTCAATTTATTTATAGCAATCAAGGCTGGCCGAATTATTGCAAGATGACGATAAGTTGAAATGCAACCAAATATTAAGCTTAAAGCATATGGATTAACTAATAATTGTCTTCTATGGACCATCAAATTGGTGGCTAACTTTGAGAAACAATATAATCCCACTTAAGTTCAGATGCAGCCATTGAGTTGACTTGATCAGGGTAGTCAAACCAGCTTCTAATCTTCTCTAGAGTCTAGGCTCCTTTTCTTTGATCATCCAAAAACTAAGCCAACCAAGCCCCAAATCACACATCCATCCCACTTGAGAAGATGAAAATCCAGAGCATCAATAATAGGCAAAAATAACATCAAGCTGTACATTTCTGTAATCAGTGATCAATAAAGACCAGCCCATTCAATAGGACTCAAATTTTGCTATATTACTAAAATGATAATAGATGTAAGAACTGAGTGCTTATTTTCCACCGACCCTAATAAACCTATCAGTCCAGTCATCTCTAGAATATATTATCCAAGAATAAAGCAGCAAAAAAATGATAAGAAAACACATTATCATAACCTGAGCTTCTTCCATTGCAACATCATTCATGTCAGGTTTTTTTTCAGAAGAATCATTCTGGGTTGGCTGTGAGGAAGGATCAGCTTCATTAGGTTTATTCTTATCATCTAGCTTTTCAGCAGCCTCTTGTTTTTGCTCTTCAATTACAGAAATCTGCATTGTTCATAAAATCCGATAACCATCAGCCAACTAGTCTATTATATAATAGATAGAAAGTGCATAGCAAACTTAGCTTGCTTTCTGTATTGATATAGATGATAACTTATACCTGATAGAATAATTATGAAGGAAGATGAAAATGGCACAAATATACTTCATTCCAATAAACAAAGACAAGACAGTCATATGATATTAACAACCCTAGTTGTTAGGGAGAAAGTATAAATGCATAATCAATGTTTTTAATAGGCGCTCGGGCAAGGTGAGGCAAGGCCCAAGCACCTTGCACAATGTCCGGGCGATGCGCTTGATTGAAGCATCGCCTGGGCGCTCACCTAAGCCAAGGCACCTTGAGCAAGTGCCCGATTGAATACCAACAAATCAAACCAGAATATGAACTCTAGTTCGATTGAACAATAACTTAGTTGGTTCAATCAAACTAATTAAATTAAACCCTAAACCCACCCCCCCACCCGACCCAATGAAACCCTAGACTCTCGCCACCCGACCCACCTTTGGTCCGCCACCACTGCCTTCATGTGTAGCTCCCTTTGCCACTGACGGACAGTTCTAAAGCTTCCTCCACCACTGTTGTTTTTGTGCATAGCTCTCTACGCCACTACTTCTTTCATGTGCAACTCCCTTCGCCACCGAGGGACAAGTCCGAAGCTTCCTCGATCGTCGACAGACACATCCGAAGCTTCCTCCGCCCCCGATGCAGCCATTCACAGCTTTCTCCGCCATTGTTGCCATTCGCAGCTTCCTCCGCCGCCACTACCATCTAAAGCTTCCTCTGCCATCTAAAACTTAGTTGGCCTTGCACCAACAGGTCCCTCTAATATATGATAGAATTTAAATTAGCTTCCATATGAAATATTAGATGAGATTTTATTTTATAATCATATTTATCAATCGTAATATATATTTCTTATATTTTAATATTCTAGAGCATCTCGCTTTGCTTGGGCGAGCACCTAGTGCTGCGGGTGTTTTGGGACCTTAGCGCCTAACTCTTTTAAAAACAATGTGTCTAATAGAAAAAAAATTATTGTGTTCCCTAGATTCTTGACATATCATATGGCATTATCATCAAGAAGCATAGAATATTCACACTTTGACATGCTACCAATATTAGCTAAAAAAAATTAATACCAGAAGATGAGTTAAATTTCTTCATATATTGATTAAGAAAAGCTATTGAGACTGTAAGAGGTCAAAAGTATACTGGCATATGCCAAGAGAATTAGAGAATAAGATATTTCTTGGGTTTTAAAAGCTTCTATCATATTTTGACCTACAAAACCAAGACAGGGGAAATCCATCTGACTTTTCAAAAAAGAGCTAATACGAAACTTAAATTTTATAATAAATCAATTGAATTTGAAATTGATAATAGAAAACAATGTTTAACATACAGCAGATTTATACAACATGACTTATTAGATTGGAAATGGATACACTGTAGACAATACCAAACAAGATAAAGTCTAGTTCATTGTTTTTCCTTTTTTGAGTGAGAAAAAAAATCTGGCATACCATATTTAACATAATAAAATCTTCACAAAAGCAAAGACCATTAATGTTCATTCAAGCATTATTCATATCTAGTAGTCTAATAAATATTATTCTACAGTATCATTTAAACTCAACAAACACTTCATAGTTCATAATTCTGTTTATATCTGTCCAAAAGATTGAAGAAACAAGAAAATTTCCAGACTCAAGTAGTCCTCATATATACATATAAACATTAAAATCTCCAGAAACGACACATATTTTATCTGTTCTTGCTGTTCCATCAACAGAAATTTAAGCATTCTATGGTTAATGTAAAAGTAGAAACAGAAAAGGATCTGAATTTGGGAATTGGAACAAAGGACACAGAAGGTTACCACCACAACAAACTATCTTTAGATTTGGGAAAGTTGAGCAAGTATAGTTCCATAGACAGAACACCTTTGATATATATGACTACAAAGTACAAAATTGTTGAAGCCAAAGCAACACATTCAACAGGTGGCAAGAAATTCTCTAAGTTGGTAAAGAGTATGATGTTTTCCGGAGAATTTGTTTGTGTTGTTTTCTCTCCCAAAATTCTTGAGAGACCGAAAACAGAATAATGCAAGAGCCATTTTCTTGACTGAGAATATATGCCTAATGGGGAAGAATTATATGCAGACATATTGCCCAGAAAGCCCATCCACACATTAGAAATCTAAACTACATGTCAGAAATTGATTAATGTCAGCTCACTAGACATAAGTTGAGGCTAAGTTATACATTTTGGGTCCTTGATAAACTTTGGAGAGTTGCTCCTTGGTTGTGCAAGTTTAAGCAGAAACCTAGTAAACAAATTATTCTTACATCCCAACTAGATTGTTTAGCTTTTGAAAAAGAAATTTGCTAATATTAACTAAGCTTCCTTGACTAAAAATTTGACACCAGGTTCAGGGATTGATATAACATTCACAACCAATCACATAATTACATTAAAGCTCCAACAAAATATTCTGACATTTGTGTTGCCCTTCATAGCCTATTCCCTAGTGTCAGTTTATTGTTGTTGTTGTTGATGATGATGATGATGACAAGGAGGATGATGACGTCTCCAACTTAGCAATTAATTATTCTGCTGCATCCACAAAAGGAAAAAGAACGATGGCTTTGATCATATTATGTCATCTTGAAAGTAGAGAGACATTGATAGCTCAGACAACAACCTAAATATCCGTCCGACACCAAACCCTAAAAGGCCTAAGCAACAAATAAAGCATCTGAAATTTCAAATTTTGTGCCAGGCGCATCGGGTGACGAACACATGGAGCCCAGTCATACCTCATAATCTAGCTATCCTGATCTTCCTTCGGGTTGGGAAAAAGGGTAAAGAACAGCACACACAGAGAGAGAGAGAGAGAGAGAGAGACAGACATTTTAATCGATGATTTGCTTCCCTAAGAATAAGACCAATGATCTTGAGAAACAAATCGATAAGAAGAAACGGTAACGCAAACCCTAAGAAAAGCCAGAATTATAAACCCTAGAAAAAGCCAGAGATCCAACACCACAGTCCCCAGGAAAGAACCAAGCTTTACGGTCGGAATCGAAATGAGTAGCCATGAGGAAGAAGGGGGACCAGTTACCGGGACGAATCGGAACTTCCGGGGCGGCGGCTCCTCGGGATGGGGGGCGCCGTTGGCGGGCGAGGAGACAGGGGCCCACTTGTAGAGGAGGAGGTGGGAGCGGACACCGTTGGCGCTGGCGGCGGAGGAGGCGCTGCTACTGGGGTGGGCGAGGGGGACCCACCTCTTCTTCCACTTCCTCACCGGTCCGCTGAAGACCGTCGCCGGCCCGTACCGGGTCGACGACCGCCCCAGCCGGGCCCCCACCCCCTCCATCCTCGTATGCTACGTTGCGATATATACTCCCTTTTGCGTAGGCGGAGAAAAGAAGAGTTCGGGGGGGAGGAGGTGAAGACGCCGGTCTCGTCTTCCGCTCTTCTAAACTCTCGCCGTCTCGTCTTCTCTCTTCACGGTTGGTGGAGTGGACCAATCAGAAGTTTGCTTTCAGCAACTTAACTATAAATTCATAAAATATAATAAAATATTAATCATAAATCATACCCTCATTCAAACAATTCTTTATTTCATCCCCCAAACTCTTACTGTACTAATGTTACTCTTCTTCGTCACTCTCTCGTCCAACACCAAATGACTCGTTGTTCATCACTCGTTGCTCGACAAACGAAGAAGAATTAAGTAAAATAATAAGTAGAAAGAGGAGGAAGACGAGTCGCTCTGTCTCACTTATCGCTTACCATTAGGGGAATAAATTAGTAAAAAAATCCAAATAGAAAGAAGATTACTCTTTTCAACCCCTTTTTGTTATTTAAAATTCCATATTAAGAATTTTAAATATTCATAAGTTATCCATTTATAAATAAACATATACCATCAATTTATAATTTATTTTTAATAATTTTTTTCATTCATTACTTATGAATAATTTTTTTCTTCTTCTCCTCCTCAGCCTTTTAATTATTGGAGATGACGTAAGATGATGAAAAGAAAATAAATAATAAAATAAAAAAAATTAAAGATATAAAAAGATAATATAAAAATATATTTTTAAAAATTATTATAATAGTTTAATAATTCAGGATTATGTATATTTAATAATAACACAAAATATACTATCTTTTAAATTAATTGTATTATCATGTTTTAAACCTTTGTATATCTTATAGAACATGCAAACGATGGAGACGATAAAGAGTACGGGTTATGAAAAAAAAAAGAGGATTAAATCAGAATTAGAGGGATTATGAATAGTAAATTATTTTTTATTTTATTAATTTAAAATGAAAAATGAATAGTAAAATAATTATGAAATAAAAGTGGAGCTCTAAATAGTAACATCTAATAAAAATCCTCACCAATCAAAACAAAATTATTAAAAGTGCTTATCGATCCTTGTAAAGTTTTACAATGACATATTTACCCTTATGAACCTAATCCAACATATGTTTAAGTACTCTACTTACATTCATACAAAAAAAAAAACTTAGAATTATCATATTTTATTGATTATAATATGATTAATTATTAATTAATTATGTTATTTATATCATAAAAAAATAATTAAAAAATTTAAATCTCTCACTTGAAACTTGTTTGCTAATGCAATCCATATTTTATAAGATCAAGTATGACAAAAAAAAAATAAATGGGTAAATGAGTCAAATAAATTGTAAGGTTTTGATAAAAAAAATCATAATTTTTTATATATATCTACCTTTTCAATATTTGAAAACAACTTATTTTTCCTTACAATTTTAACATATATAAATTATTCTCTTCATATATATATATATATATATTATATATGACATGTGACATGGACTTAATGGGCCTATATGGGCCTTGGACGACCAGGCTTTATAACTGCGGATTCCAAGTCCGGGTGCTCGGCAGGATTTAATTATCCAACTCACGTCCGCACGGGAACAGAACAAATGCCGCATCATTAAACAAAGAGAGAGAAAAGATCAATCGAGAGGGTGCCGCTTCGCCGTCAGCGCCATCCCTAAATCGCCTCGATACAAGAAAATCCTCGACGATTTGATTTCCCTTCCCATCCGGAGTCGATCGATTTCGCCTCTTCGCGGTTTGTGTTCGTATTGCTCGTCTTGGTCTGCGAATTCTTCAATCAGCCATCTTGGTTATCTTTCGTGAATATTACTTTTGGGTATGTGTTTCTTGTTTGATTGGTTTCGTGTGAAACATGCCGATCTTGATGCGATTTTGTGCGAAAAATAATTTTTTATCGTTTTTTCTTCATGATCCGGGGATTCCGTTTTCGATTGCGGTATCTTCGGTTGAGTTGTTGTTGCCGTCTTCTTGATGAACTGAGGAGCTTTGATGACAGGAAAGAAGTGTCTCTCAATCTTCTGAGGTAATTAGTCCCCGATAGCACAAGGATGGCTTTACGTCTACCCAAACTGAAACCTGTAGACCTATTGGGAGCATTATGGACCCTGTGTTCTTGTTCTGATATTTTGCTTCTCTTTTGTTGAAGAAATGTCGGATTTTGATCTCGTCTAAGCTTTTGCTGAATGATTAACTTTTACTTTATTGCAGGTCTTTGAGAAAGAACGGGCGGTCATGGCCGATTTGGAGAACTTGCTATTGCAGGCAGCAGGGAGAACTGGATCTGGTCAGAAAAACAATAATTCACGCCCACAGTCAAGATGGAAGCGAGACAACTCTTATTCCGATGGAAGTGATTCAAGGGACGACGACTCTGATGATCCCAAGTACACTAAAAGAAAGCCTTCTGGATCTCAGGTTCCACTAAAGAAGAGGTTTGATCCACCTGAGAAGGACAAGAGGGGCGGCTGGAGGGATGGTGACAACGATGACGGTGGTGGCAGGCACAGCGATGATGACTCTGACAGTGCCCCTTCAGTTGGGAGTGATCTTTACAAGGATGATGCGGATAAAGAAGAACTGGGGAAGATGTCTGAATTAGACAGGGAGATGATATTGGCTGAGAGGAGTACAAAGATAGATGATTACAAGTTAAAGAAGATGGCACGAGCATCATCATCAAAGATGGAGAAGAGTCGAAAGGAGAGGTCTCCCCCTCTGCCGATCCGTGGACGCTCATCAGCCCAGAACGACAGGACAGCTGCCAAGAGTGCTTTGAATGAACTAAGAGCCAAGAGAATGAGACAACAAGATCCAGAGGGTTATCGCAGCCGGTTGAGGGATTTGACCGGAGAGGGAGCCATTGGTGGCTTCACCCTCCGTGATTCTTCTCCCTCCAAACGCAGAAATCTTGGCATGGCTGCTAGTCCACCTAGTGATATTAGCAACGAAGGTGAGAGTGGAGGCAGAGCTGATAGTGATGATGATAGGTTCCATGAGGACAAAAAAATGGATGATGATTTGTTAGAGGATCTGTCGCCATCTAGATTAGATGCACCTAAGTTTGAGGATGTTAAAAACATAACAATTAGAAGGTCAAAGTTGGTTAAGTGGTTCATGGAACCCTTCTTTGAAGAGCTCATTTCTGGGTGCTTTGTCCGGCTTGGCATTGGGAAGACACGATCTGGGAAACCCAAATATAAGTTATGCTTGGTCCGGAACGTGGACGCAACCGACCCTGGGAAACACTACAAGCTGGAACATTACACTACGTATAAGTGGTTGAATTGCATCTGGGGTAGTGACTCCTCGGCAGCTAGGTGGCAGATGGCTATGGTCTCAGATTCTCCACCATTAGAAGATGAATTCAACGAATGGAAATGGCAGGTGGAGAATGATGGTGGCCGGATGCCAACCCATCAGGAGATTCTTGATAAGAAGGAAGAAATTCAGAAGATAAACAATTTTGTGTATTCAGCAGCTACTGTAAAGCAGATGCTGCTAGAGAAGAAGTCGGCCTCCCTGAGACCAGTAAATATTGCTGCTGAGAAGGATCGGCTGAGGAAGGAGATGGAAGTGGCACAGAGCAGGCGAGATGAAGCAGAGGTGGAGAGGATTAGAGCAAGGTTGAAGGAGTTAGAGGACATTTCTCGGAAGACAAAGCAGGTTGATGAAAAGGCTGTTAGATTGGCAGAGATGAATAGGAGGAACCGAGCTGAGAACTTTAAGAATGCTTCAGAGTTGAAACCAGTCAACACGAGCTTGAAGGCTGGGGAGGCTGGTTATGATCCATTTTCAAGGAGGTGGACAAGGTCAATGAACTATTATGTCTCGAAGCCTGGGGGCGATGGTAATGCAGCAGCTGCAAATGATGATCATGAGAAACCTGTGGTGGCAGGAGTTGCAAATGGGGTAGTGACAATAAATGGGGTGGAGGCTGGTGAGGCAGCAACTGCAGCAGCTCTGCAAGCTGCAGCTGGTGCAGGCAAGTTGGTAGATACTAGTGCACCTGTAGACCATGGAACAGCATCGAACTTTCTGCACAACTTCGAGCTGCCAATCTCTTTAGCTGCCTTGCAGAATTTTGGGGGCCCTCAGGGTGTGCATTTGGGGTTGATGGCAAGGAAGCAGAAGATTGAGGCGACCATTGGGTACAAGGTGCCTGATAATGATGGGAGGAGGCATCCCTTGACTCTGACAGTCAGTGATTATAAGCGTAGGAGGGGTCTTCTTTGAATCAATGCTTTTTATCAGCCTGGACCATCATTGTATCCGTTTCTACGCCAGTGTGCTGATACATCATCTGCAAGTATTTCTCTGTCGTCAAACAGGTAATTCAAGTTTTATTTCTGGTGAATGAAAGCACACCCATTGGACCTACTGGTTGTCTGATGAATGATGTCCTGCTGGCATTCGCAAATGAGGATTCTGTTTGTGCACTGGTTTTTTCTAGTCAAAATCTTCTGGGTGGAGTCTTTCTTTAAATTTCATCTAGTTTCGTCATCAAGCTATTCAAGTTTTACTTCAGATGAATGAATTCACTTTTTTTTTTATGAATGAATTTACCACTGGTGATGACCTGCTAACATCGGCAAATGACTGACTCCATGTCTCTCTTTTGTTAAATCAGACAAATTATATGATGTGATGTCATAGCTTGCAATAAGGTTTTTTTGAGTTTCCTGGTTAACTAAATTATACATCAATCTGTGTTATTTCAGCTATAAGATTTGCATCTGAATAGGTAACAACGTCATGTTCCAATTAGTTACTATTTCATCTATATAGAATGCGTGATTTTCAGCACCTTATAATGTTTTCCATTTATATTAGCTTGGATGTTGGTATAAGTTTAAGCCTTTGTTTCTCTTACTGCTTACAGCTGTGGTATGTGGACAACATAAATGTTCATGCTTATCAAAACATACTCCGTTTTTTATGGTTTATATCCTGTGCAAAAACTATCTGCATGTGCTTCGTAGCAATGTTAACATGTTTGATGTGCATGATACAATTGAACAGATGATGCAGTGGAAGCTACTGCAAATAGATGTGTATTCTTAGATCATGCATCATCAAGTGCTTTGAGGCACTTTTTCAAATGTTGTTTGCCC